TTAATTGTGACCACTTGGTCTTGTTGTATACCTTCCCTTAAAAATAACTATAAGTGTAATTGAAAAGCATAAGAAACTTCGGTAGCAAGGTAAAATAGTTTAATTGTAATTCAAATTTAGAAATACAACATAAATTTTTATATTTAAGATTTTAAAGCTAGGATTGAATGTTAAAAGCATGAGAAACCATTCAAAAGTCTCAAGTTCAGTAAATTTAAAAACAAATAGGATATGGTTTCATTTTTATAGAAAAATGACCATAATTTGTGTGCAGAGTGCCGGAATTCATTATAAAAAATTCAGAAATTGATCATAAACTATTTTTGAATCTTAGAAAGTTTTTTGAAAAAAGAATTTTAGAACTCGTATCTTAAAAGTTCCTCAATAAATAGGTTAATAAGTTGTCTATAAAATTTTAAAATTTAAAATGAGGAAACATTTTAAAACTAATCATATCTTTCTAAAGTTATAACTAGAAAAGAAAGTTAAAAAATAGTAGAAATAGAAAGCCGTATGGACATACTTTATGAAGGTATTAAAAAATTGCAGCTAAAAAATAAATAAGTGATCGTAAACTAATATTTTTGAAGCATAAAACTTAACACTTGCCATAATAAATTTGAAAATTCAAAATAAGAAACGACACAAGGTTCCTAATTTTTTGTCAGTAATAATTACTAATATTCAATACGTATTATTAAATGTTTAAAAGTTAAGCCAATTTTTATAAATAAAAATTAATGATTTAAAATTTGGAAAATAGGGAACTGTTTCACTATTTCAACAAGTTTTGATTCTTATATAAATTTAAAAAGTACAGAACACACAAATAAATTGTTCAAGTTTAAACTCAATTAAAAAAATATAGGGTGCGGTTTGTCTAGAGCTGAGGCTCTAAACAATCAAATTAGAGCCCACCTTCAAATAGTGTTGAGAAATGTGGTTTCAATATTGGAAATCTTTGTGATAGCCTTAAAATATATTTTCATCTTTAAATAGAAAATTTAAAGTTTCAAAAATAGTCTAGATGGAGTAGATCTATGAAATCTTGAAAATTAACGGTAAAAGAATGCTTTATAAGATACACTATTTCCAAAATTTGAAATCCATTTTTTTCTTATGTCGATGCATCTTGATTTGAGATGATCAATTTGATGATATTTGGGTATCAAAACAACCTCTTCGAGTGAAATTTTTGAGGTAGGCTCTAATTTGATTGTTTTGAGTCTCAGCTCTATATAAACTTTTCCCAAAAATATATGGAGCTATTTCTTTAAAATAAAAAAAATTGAAAGGTGATAGTTGCAATTGTGCTAGTAAAAATGATATATTTGTTTTTTTAAATAGTGAAAATTTGAAATTAAAAAATACAGCGATTTAAAATTCTTGTAAATTTTGCAAAATTACTTGCATTAAAGGAATTCTGTCTTTAATTATAATATCAGAATATATTTCAAGACCCTAAGTGGATTGTTTTAAAGATTTCGAGTTTGTAATATAAGTTTGTAGTATTTAAAATTTCCTAAATTGGTTACAAATGAGATACATACCCTATGTGAATTACTTGAATAGTTATAAAATTCGTAATAAAAGCTTGTGGTATTTAAAATTTTAAATTAATTACAAAATATTATGTATTTAAA